AATTATTAATAAACTGTACACTTATAACAAAGACACATTAATCATCAGCTAAATGTAGCATTTATATATAAACTTCCTTGTTATATACGTTCGTAAAACAGTCTTTGAAGGTAGATAACATAGGACTGTAAGTAATGATAATTAGTAATTTAGAACGATCTCTAAGATCTAGTCAAACTTTTGACTAGAAAATCGATAGGTTTGGTAGTCTATAGGTTAAGACTTCTAATTAGTATAAGTGAAATGCAAGCAGTACATTCAATTTACTACGTTAAACTATCTTTCAAAAGCGTTGTTTCCAAAATATGATCGTCTAGCAAGCTTTTTATCCTACATTTATCGCTTATTGAAACCAAAAACCCATTTTTCGTTTTGTGTGTTTTCAAAGGTTGTTTATGTTGATAGATAATTTTTCTTGGCCATATTTTTAATTCTCTCAGTTAACCGAGTCAAAACAAATTAGTGCATAAAGTAGCATACATCGCATATTACCGTATGGCATATGAACTCTTTTCAACATTTAAAATCGTTAAAGGTTTATATAATAGTACTAATTGTTGGCTACACATTGCATCAGTTACTTTATGTATGTTTAATAAGGTAAATTGTTTTGTGTGGCTTCAATGTTTATTAACTTTAAAACTTAAAGCGTCATGTGAAACACTATACGATGGTAATTTTGTGTGGTTTGACAACCGAGTAAATATCAATTTTAGAGTATGGAATAATTTTAATTTTGTTTTCGACCATATCGAACTTCCAAAGATTAATGATCTGAATGTATTATACTATCTTTAATTGTACTTAGAAACTATGTAATTAAAAACCTTTTTAGCCAATTAAATATACATATATATATGTATGTGAAAACATCTCAACCTTTTAAAATTTATTGACAATGAATAGATTTATGAGTTTATCGGAAACTGAAAACCATTTATCCTGAATCACAGCAACCAGTACACAAGTATAACTTATCCAGTATACCCATTCTGTGAACCCTGAAGACGAGTTTGAATAGGTTGTTTGATAAGAAATTTGTAAGCTGACTGAGACTTGCAATCTTTTAACTTACTTTATTTCAAAAATCACTTGGATTTTAAGCAAACCAAATTACTTATTAAAGTAATCGGACACAAGCGAAAAGCAATAAATATTTAAGATGAAAAGGGTGATGTACGAACGATACTTTTTAGAAAGAAAAAGATGTGCATAACTCAGTTATTAATTATATTTCTCAACCAAGTGAGTTGATTTATTGATTTAGCAAATTGTATACACACATGAAACTATTGATTAACTATTAGCTCAATTATTGCAAATTTATTGATTGACTGAACAATTTAAACGATATGTACTTACAACTGTTGTGAACATGGTCTTATTAATAGTTGGTGAATGAAGCAGTCTTCCATTGTCCTGTTTCTTTCCTTGTGTTAGTATGGGAGTTTCGTACCATTGCAATAGGTATCGATTTTTTCGCATTCACGATAAACAGTCGTATCAGTAATCAGCATTTAGCTCAAGTCATAACACTGTAAACTTAGTTGTGTTTCAAGTCCTTAAAATATCACAGAATTAACTAAGTTCACGAAATCTAATTTAAAGGATAATCGACTAAAATACCGTATAAATGATTCCGAAATTCGAACAGTTTGTTGTATAAACCTAATAAGATGTCTGCTAGGGTAGAATATACATTGCATTGTATCACATCAAGTAGAATAGGTAATGAATATATACCCACATAGACACCTGTTACCCCTTGAAGAGCATGTGCAACCGACCAGCGATCTCCAGCCAGCTCTGTCCCTCGCACAAGTTTTATTCATCATTTTGACGTTTTCCTCCAGTTCCAGACAAAGTTTGTTCCTTGGTTTTCCTCTTTCCCTTTTACCTTCACGATTCCAAGTTAGCGCCTACCTCGTGATGCAGTCTGATGATTTCCTCAATGTATGTCCTATTCAACTCCGACGTCTTCTAGTTTCCTCTTCAGTTGGAAACTAGCTTGTTCTCCCATTGTAGGATGTTCATGATGGTATCCGGCCAACAGACATTGAGTATCATACATAGACAACTGTTTATAAATACTTGTACATTTTGATTATGGTTGTGGTAGTTCTCCAAGTTTTAGCTCCGTACAGTAGAACTATCTTGACGTTCGTATTGAAGATTGTGACTTTAATATTGATTGACGGTTGTTTTGAGTTCCATATGTTCTTCAGTTGTAAGAGTGTTGTCTTTGTTTTGCCAATCCTCTACTGATTAGATTTGGGTACCTGGGAAGTATTACAGCATACACACAAATCAAGTGACTTGTGTGGCGCATATGTATTTGGTGCCCCTTTGTACCAATATTTGTGTGTTCAAATAAATAAGTGGTAAACAATTCCTCTCCCTGACATCTCCACTAGATCCTCTTTATTTATCGATGGTGCTGTTCAGGTACGTGAAACTTTCCACCTCTTCCAGTGCTTCTCCAGCAAGTATGATTTGCTTGGGGTTCTCCGTGTTGAATTTTAGGATCCGCTTTCCCCCTGTGTATGTTAAGGTCTATCGCTGTAGAGGCTGTTAATACACTGGTCGTCTTCACCTATTTTTTGATGTGTATAGGATAGAAGAAGAGCTAGTTCATGTACAAAGTCCAAATCATCTTGTTGCATCCAAACTGTCTAGTGTGTTCCTTGCTTCTCTGAGATATGGAGGTCTTCATAATCCAGTCAACCACCAGAAGAAAGAGAGAAGGTGAGATTAACAGCCTTGTCTGATGCCGGTCCTCACTTGGAATGTATCTGTCAGCTGTCCTGTGTGCACACCTTTATAGTGTAGTTCGTCGTATGATGTTGACGATTTGCTCTGCTACTCACTCCATAGTGTCGAAGAAGGTTCCATAAGGTCCTTCTATTCACACAGTTAAACGCTTTTTCATAGTTATGTAAGTTGATGTATAGTGAGCTGAAGGACACAGTTAAGGACAGAATGTTGAATGATGAGGATTTATTTGACACCAAACGTTTATCGAAATTATTTTCTAATACACTAGTTTTTGTTTGATTTACTTACACTGAATAACTGGCGTGTCCGAATAGATCAGGCTGAGTATTATGTAACACTAATTATTCAATGACGCTGTATGAACATGAACTTGTGATTCATTGAGAAAAATCGCTTCATAAATTATTCCCACTTCAATTAGTTAAGTTTTTGTTCATTAAAGCCCCTCTATCACGGCAAGGTGTGGGATCCTTTTGTGGTTTTCTTTTTACCGCTGACTTCAAATAGAACATCCCCACATGAAGTGAAATTTTCATATATAAAATGCCTTCTTTTCGAACCGCATGTGATTTTGAGTCAATATTTTTTGGTCTATGATTAAAACAGCCTCCATTTTCGCATATTCTCCACGATCGTCTGCCAGTACTCTGCTACGAAGTCTTGGATATGAATCACTTAGTTTTTGTTTTAATTTTTCATGGCTCCAAGTTGGCTACATATTAGGTTTTCAGTGGTGCGATAATTAAATCCTTCGAAGTTAACTTTCGGCTGGTGTCGTTCTCTCGTGGGTGAGACTTTGAAACTAAAAAATCTTGATTCGTAACGCCTCCGTACTCGGCACTGATATCTTCTGGATTTTTGGAAGTTATAATAATTCTGCAAAAACTTGGTACTACGGTAATTTAAAAGAAGGCAATAGGCTTCTTATTTTACGAAACTATTGGAAATCTTTCTCAAAGCTTTGCAGAACAGCTATTCGTTTTCAATATCACTGCCTAAACAAATCAAGGAACCAGAAGCTGAATGACAATCGCTCATAGTTCTAGTACCAATATAATCCCATTACAACTATAGAAAAGTCTTGCTTTGAAGCTGGTTCAAAATTGTCACTGCTTCAGTCCAGCTTGGTACCCGCTCATTTCCATTATACAATGATTTTGTTTATTACTGGTGTACAAATCAAATAGTTAAAATGTGCATTTGATGGTATTATTGTTCAAACTCTCATTCAATCAATTCATTATCGACCACTGAAGAGAATAATGAGGACACCATACAGACTTATTATAAAAACAGGTTTAAATAATAGGAGGAACATCATATCTGGCATTCGTTGTACGGAACAATCTAACTAAAATACTATGTTAACCAAGTGAACACAGTTCTTTCTCACAGAGTCGACCAGTCGGACAACGTAAAATCTAGTACCTCCCTACACTTGTTCAAATTACTATACCTAATTAGCACGACAGGGTGGAATTGTTTGGTAGAGTTTCAGAAAAGTAGATGTCATGACAGGGTTGGTGGTAATAGATGAGGCTAGGGGTCGAGGGTGCAATTCAATAAAATGTAAATTCGTGAGGTAAAAATATCATGATCAGAAGCAGAAAGTTCATACGTCGTTTCCAGATTTAAACAGGTCTCCGATTTCATTACAAGTTTGTTGGGAAATGTCGTCTTGGTAGAAGTGAATATATATTCCACGAATTTGGATGAAGATAATTAGTAGTAAATTAGGATAGTACCGGATAGAGTGAAGCTTAGTCTATCCCAGTTACAGGATTACTAGCTTCTTCATGATCGATCCAGTAAAACCTTATAATGGAAGTTAGTTGTATTCAAACGTTAAATCAATGTATTAACACGGGATAAAAGTCATCGCTAGGAAGGTTCTGGTCTGCAACAATATCATCTGAACTTGTAAATTCTCTTCTCATCGTGCTATAACAGCTCATTCACATACATATGCCACAACTCGTTCGTAACGTTCAACAATGTCATCAATAAACCCTACATATCTCCCTCTTATGTTGAGCTCGTCAAATATGACCTCTACATGAAAACATTGTAGCACTAAACTATCAGAAGCTTCCAAAAATACAAGGGGTATGTAACTGTTTGAAAATGACGTGATAAAAATTAGTTTACCATGTAGTACACACGTAAACTCTCTTGAATATATCATATTAAGAGACTTGAACGTGAAAAAATTATTTTCAACTTACTCGAGAGCATTATCCGGCTTTTCTGGCTCTTCGTACAAACCTACAAGTACTGTACACCGCAAATATTGAATTTGAAATATTTACCCTTTGTGAGTGCATCAATCACTCCAGATTTCTCCAAATACTTTCTAAACTCTTCGCGTTTACAATTTCCAGGCTAAATATGAAATCCATTTTTATTTTAAAAATACCTTGTAAGATGACATATTGGTTTCAAAAAAAGACGCTACAACAACTTGACAACGGTTTAAGTATTTAACGGTTAAAACAATGAGTTGAAATGACGTCTGATGTACGAAGCCAGCAGACGTCAGTGTGGTTCAGTGTAGCCTTTGTAAACTTATTCTCACAAAACCTAATTTTGCTAACGTTGATTTTTCAAATTTCGTTTTCATTCACTTGCACATAGATTATAGAGATATTTCAGCGCTTTTTCTCTTGTATATGTGTTAGCACGTTTAAATCATGTTCACTCTCTTTCTACTGTTTTCCTGCAGTGTTTTTACTCTTGATTCACCTTCCTCATTATGTCAAGATAATAGGTTCTTATCAATATTGTAGAGATAGGACCATAAAACCTATTTTGTAAATAATTTTTCATAGTTTTTGCATGTATTTTGTGTATTTTCATACTCTGTACTTTTTAGCATTAAACAATTGTACTTGTTGTTTAAGTGTATTACTTTGAACACTTGTAGCTTGATTTCCTTCCGTTTTGAGTACAACTTATCGTGACACTGTTACTGCTTCTCAATAAATACACTCTAATTCACATCTGCATCGTTCTGCTATATCTACAAATATGTTAAATGAAATATTCACTGCATATCATCTATATTTATAGACAATTGTGACATTCTTATTGAATTCTACACTTGGTAAATTTACTGGATCCATATTGTCCATATTGGGATTACTAATCTTTTATAATTGTCGATTATCTGAACCATACTCAGCCGAACACGCAATAGCCTGAAGACTTAATTAACGTCTCTTATTTTTTATTTGTGTGTAATTAACTTATTAACTGTTAATTGTTACATAAACTTAAGACATAATATTTTTGTTGCTAACTTTTGGTTATCATACGTTTTGGTCCACCATAATATATGCACTTCAATATTTTAGCAGTATTTCCTTTACTAGAACTAATACAGAATCAATAATAACATTCAAGTTAATTTTTGTGTGAGCACAGCAGATATTGTGTGTTAAATTCTATGAAAGAAATTCCACCCTCTTTATTACTATTCACTCAGGAAACGATCTAACCTAATAAAGTGTAATCTTCAAAATAAACTGACTAATACTAGATGAGTGATATCTATGAGCGCGTAAGAGTTAAAAGCTGTGTGTTCTTGAATTTTATTTGTCAATAGCACTAATGTCAGCTTTTCAAAAATGGTGAAATATTCACATTTTTGAATCCGTTGCAATCTATCTACAATTATTTTCACCTTAACAGGGGAAACGCCATAGGTATCATATTTTTCAACGGGAAGACTATTATTCGTAGGTTATCTGCTTTCTTCACTATCGGCGACTTCATTTTGTGTAGTCATCTCTCGTTCTGAGTTGCGGAGAACAAAATAAAGGTCTTTCGTCTCCGTTGGAATGCGATGTCTTCAAAGTTATTATCTTCTGAAACACCTAACTTAATTAAGAGCTGTCGATCAGTCTCCAAGAGATGAATCTAACTTTCGAAATTCTTACGTTTTCCGCACCTTATGTTAGTCACTTCATTTTGATTTCTAGAACCTGGACATCCAGGTAAATTCAAATAGCCAAATACATCGAAATTAAAAAATGAATCAAAGAATAAGATAATTGGGCAACCGTGCAGTAGTAGACAGAATTTTTGATCGGAGGTCGTGAATAAAGAATTAGCTATGGTATTATTATTACTAAAATGACTACTGATTGCCGTCTATAGCAAATTAAGGTTATGCGTTGTCAAAAGGTCCAAAAATTCTATTACTAACGGATGCTTATATTTCACAGAACAAACAAACTTGGACCCATCAAGGACTCTGATTATAAGAGGAAACTCAATAGCAGCTAGCATGGAGATTATGGAGACTCGATGGCCAGGACATGCAATTATGATCAATCTGTAGAGCATTCTTATTCGTATCAAATATGATGTTATGTTATTAGTCTGCAATGTATCCTGACAAACAATATCCTTAACTACAACGCAAGGCGCGTCAGTGATGGGATGTTGACTTAAGACCATATAGGTTCGGCAGTCAAATCATAGCAATCCCACATAATTAATTAGGTCCATTATACTACTAAAATACACAAGTACACTAAAAATGACCGTATATCTAAATCTTACAGATATTTCTTAGATAGTCATCACCAAGACTTTGGGATTGTTGAGGTTTGTTAAGATGTCATTTAGATTGAGACGCAGCAAGAAACGTGCAAATGCTTAAACACAAATTACTTTTACAAATGTCTTTCTCTTGTGTATACATCGATAACTCACTAACTGTATTTCCTGTTTTACATTTAAATACACAGAATGTCAGTCATGTGGTTGGTACATTAGTTACGTTGGGAGTACGGGAAGCTGTTAAGACTTTTACAACCGTCAGAAGCGAAACTAATTTTTTAAAAAACGTTAAAAGTTTCAGATCATTTCATTACACCTTGTTAAAAAATAGAAAGGTCGGTCTGGTGAATCAACTACATAGACTACGATACCGAATTCAAATGCTTAAAGTGAACCACGCTCGTTAAAATCGGTAATCTATACGTATACCTGAAGACCCAAACACATATTGGCACTTCCGGAAGAGATATTAGGTGGAAAAAGCACATTCGAGTCCTTAGGTTGAAGGACCGTTCAAGATAGTCGTACGAAAACCTAAGTAATTTGTTGTACGAACACTCTGATGGTTAGATGTAGTAAGCATGTATAGGCGTAAACTGACTCTTCCGAATAATGGACCGTCGAACATAGTATTACACTCTTCATGAAGCAAATGAGCTAAGATAGATAGGTACCGGACGGAATTATACACTCAGTATGGAAAAGAGTGGGTGCTATAATCGGTCGTAGCAAAAAGTCTAAATTGAGCTTCATTTTAACCAGTGAAATTACACCACTTGTATTTCAACGTTTCGTTTACTTGAAAAATGTTTCTTAAGACAGTATTTCTAGATAGTTTATAACTTTTGCATTTGCATAAACAAAAAATAGGGCGAAAATGACTCAAAAGTGGTCTTTGCAATCTCACTACTGTTTGAATTTTGTCAAACACAGTGTTAGACAACTTGACACACACAAGTCACAGAGGTCACTAAGGTTTCGGTACCAGTGATTTTCTCTGACTAAACGTACGTATTTATCTCCTTTTCTGATTTTTCAGTGATTGATTACCACAGAACATTATATGTGAGAGCAAGTTTCGTGAACGGAGTTACCGGCCTGGCACGTACTCATTATATCGCCACATTGGACGCAACCGCATATTTAGTCAAAAGATTGGAACCGCCAGAAATCGAATCAACAGTTATTTTTCCTCTCTTCAAATGACTGTTTTCTATGGAGTTTTACCTAATGTGGCGTTTATACCTATTGCGGAGATTGTGAACTGTTCTTCACGTAAATTTAGGAAAAAATGCTTCACAATATAATATGTGGAGTTATGTCATACTGTTCAAGTGCTTAGTCCACAATGATCAGGCTATTCCATTGGCTCTTAGGAGGCTGGTTAATTGTATAATACAGGTTCCGGTATTTTCTGAGAAGAAGCATGAGAAGCCAAAACCACCCACTACCTAATAATCTTTCCGCTTAACAATAATGCTACGTTATACGATCCCGAAAGAATATATTCTCATATCCAGAGCTAAGTGTCAACGATTTTACACGTGACATCCTAGTAATTGAAGTATGTCAACGCAGTCGAATCAGAAGTGAGGAATGGAGAGGTTTGAAGACACATTTGAAAGGTTTCTGATATATCGAGAACCGTTTATTCTAAGCTGGCTCATAGTTGTATAAGATGCGTAGCAAAGCGTACTCACCCGTGATCAGGTGAAAATGCGTGACCAAGTTCCATCAACTAGATGTGTCCAGTAGAAGTAATGTAGTCAGTGTTAAATGTGGAAGACCTATGGAGCTGTTTTTTGGGTTCATTTACCGCTACAGCGTTTTGCCTGGCGTAATGATCTTCTTGCCAGTTCATTCCTTAACGTTTTGCATAATCTATTGATGGTGAGTATAGTAGTCCTGTGACCAAATATAATTACTTTCCAAGGATAAATTTCAGGTATATGAATTGTGAACTGCCACTAAGCTACCGAAAACGAGATTGTAAAAATCGTCAATGACTTCACAACATATACTCTACGTCCCCAATTCGCACGGACTATTGATCATTAACATAGAAACCAAGAATTTGAATGTCACATAATTATAAGGCATAATATATTCTTATTCAGTCCTCAACCCCGAGGTCTACGTTTGCGCCCAAACGTGCGCTAAAACACTACAAACTCTTATCCAGGTCTGTCTCTATCTACTGCTTGACTTTCGACATTAATTTTGTGATTGTCGTCAGCTTTGAAAAAAATATGACTGTCATTTTCTAGTGTGTTGAAAATAATGTAGTAAATTTTCGAATTAAGCTCAGATTACCAAAATTCTAAGGAATCGTAACTCGTTATTCCAATATTCTTTACGTAACATTCTCAAACTCTGGATCCTAATCCTAACACCTTAACAATTACGTCCCAACACGCTGACAGCTTTTTTTTCACAATAATGTTACTGTGTAATCCATTAAAAGTGCGAAATATTGAAATCACAATTTCCACCAACAAGCTATCCCCAGTGGCGCTTTGATTCAAGTTAATACTTGACATTGAAAGTTCAATATTTGAGATAAGACCATGATTTATGAGGAGACCAGTGAAATCAAAGATGAAATATCTCAAATTTTAGCGCAAATTCATTCATATGGCTAAATAGCATTTCGATATTACATCTGATGTCAGTTAGTGACAAGGACTGAAATATTTTGATAAAGCTTCAACTTCATATACCAGAATAACCGCTTCGAACCATTTTTACAATCTCTAATCAATTGTTTTTAATACGACTGTTTAGTCCTACCTATTAACGCTTTACAAGTATTCCTAGTCTTGCAACAACTGTATGTGTACTGTCCTAAGCCAGTAGAAATAAACATATTCCAATGCTTTTTCCCACATGCAAGACGTTTCTTGACTTGCTTAGTTATCCATGATGGATAGTTATTCAGTCTACGTGGTACTAGATATGGTATAAACGAGAACTCAACTGAACTGAACTTGCCCTCGAATATAGATCAGGCTTCTTCAATTGATGAGCTATTATCTACTGACCAATCCTTCTTAGTAGTGCACTTAGAAATGGCCGGTATGTTAGCTCTTCATATACTTGGGCGAGACAACCTGATCGTATATCATGTCACTAGCTCTAAACATGAATGACAAAACAGAGTGTTAGCTATTTACTAGTGGTGGAAGTATATTTAGGTTGGCAATATCCACAGACGCACGAGTGATTACCAAGTCCAAGAAGGAAGAACCTTGGTTTGCACCAAAAAGTGTGGGTTTCGATACATTCTGTACTATGCATGATCCATTACCCTTTATCAGGAACCTACTATCAAGTAACTTTAGAGATCCTACAGTGGCCATCCTAGCTCAACTAATATCAGGCGCCTTAAAGTCTCCTACTATCAAGCATTTGCTATTTGCACTCCATAGCTGAGTGTGCTCTAAAATAAAGTCATCAGCTAAGCAGATTGGTCTGCGATAGATGACAGCCAGTATAAATGCATGACATCCGATGGTGAGCTCACAGCTTATGGCTTCAAAAGTTCCGCTATCATGGGATTCTCAAGCGAAGGAGCAGATATTTATATTATTGGCTATGTACAAAAAGAAGATTTTGTGACTCAGAATCAGTGTTCACCAATGACTTGTTAACCAAGTGGGTTATGCTACTAGCTTTTTTCCCTTCACCTATTTGTCTCCATAGAGTCGTCCATTTCCCACCGCTCAAAACATCCACACCGGAACTATTAGGAACGGTGGTGGTTTTATCCGGGTCTTCAATTTTCACTGAAGATGCATGACTTTCCATGTCAATATTAAGTGGCACTTCACTACGCGTTAGTTTTAAGGGAGATTTTACTTTATTGTCAATTACGTATTGAACTACCTGGTTCTAGTTTCGATCCCGAGATTACCTCGATCTGAGGTATGCGCTGTTTCTGATTATCGTTGGATTCTTCCGTTATTAAGTGAAAGTTAATTGTGTGAGCTTGCTGGGCCATCGAATCGCATTTTTTTGTCCTTTTATCTACTTCTCCACAACCAAGCTACCCTAGCAGCTGCTACCCCAGTACACAAAGTAACTTCTTAATAGACAGTTTGGAAAGGACAGGAGGCTTGATGGCCTGTGTTAGTCCTGGCAATGATGACGCGAATCACAACACTGGCTTTTATTTATCACTCTAGGCTGACGATTTTGTATGGTTTAACCTTCAACGACCGTTATTAATAGTTATAATTTTAAAACAATCTTGCACAACAGTGCAGTATATTACAGCTTTTTGTTTCGGATTCTTCTCAGGATCGTGAATTGTAACTTGACTCAAGTTCTCTGATGTTCTAAACTCCGCCTTCAGGCTTAGAAAGTTTTGTTACATTGGATCACAATACGAAAGCCTTAGGTGACGTGTACGATTTAAATGTAAGGTGGCTTGGATATTTTTGATCGTCTCTAAATAATCTTGCTTTACGTAATGTGCCGTAGCCAGCGTCAGATGATTTATAATTTATAAGTAAAGCATAGATGCGAGAATAGATTACTAGTTGTGGTCACATTCGGAGATGATAAGTTGAATTAAATGAAGCTCTAAACTAGTCCCATATTCACAGAACTCTACTGAACATCCATGTTAACTGAGAAATGTGTTGTCGATAAACCAATACTTTCATGTCTTTCTGTCGGATTTTAGTTTCAAGAATATGAGACCGATTGGTCTATATTTATCCGTTCAATATGTATTACCATTGAAACCGTTCACCGATTTGTCTGATACTGCTGGCACGAGCTGGACATTTGAGACATTGACAACCCAATATGTAAAGGCCATATCTATCGTTCTTGTATATCAGGAGCCTTTACTGACAACTAATGATCTTCGGTAAATCTAGGAGTTTTCGTAATCGTTGTTTCCTCCTATATTATAACGATAGGGATGATTTACTGCACAACTCATCCGACTTTCTATCGCTGGATCCAAGCTTGCGATTCTAAACCCCTTGCTTCGTACTATTCGGTTGAAAATTGTAGCTTCAAGTCATATAACCCGTACGTAGTTAACAATAGTACTCAAGTTAAATAACTCATTCGTATTGCAACTAATAATGCTATCACTCATGGTTGTCTTACTCCTGTCCCTACTATTAAGGTTGATAATCTTAATATATGGTACCGTACCATCTTTTTGGATGTCATTCCACGCTGCCTCGTGGTGGACACAACTTACATGGCTGCCTAACTGTTTTCCTAGTTGTTCCTGAAATATATTCTTAGCTTGCCTATCACTAAGTAAAACCCTAAGAGGCTTCCTTGAAGCGTCTTTTCTACGTCCAGTAAGACGCAGACAGATACGTGCACGCACTAGAGCATGATCTGAATCTAAACATGTGCTCCAGAATGGGCGACAGTCTTCTATCGAACCCCTTCATCGGTGGCTGATAGTGATGTGATCTAGTTGAGTCCAACGTTGGGACAAACTCGGGGGTCGTCATGCCAAAAGATGTTTTTCCTTGTGCTTAAAGTTAGTATTTGCAAAATACAGGCGGTTATCTGAGCATAGTTGCAACAGACGGTGACCATTATCTGTTCTTTTAGCCACGACAACAGATAAGATCCACCCAGGTGTTTTTCCCTTTCGCTTAGTTTACCTACTTGAGCATTAAAGTCACCAGCCACTATTACTACATCAGGGCGCCTAGCTTTTCGGAGAAGGTCGGAAAGCTTTCTGTAAAACTCATCTTTTACATCATCTGAGGTGCGGTCAGTTGGAGAGTGGGCAGAGACGACGAAGAGGTAACTGTTCCGTTTAGTCGGACAGCGCACAGACGACTGTATACTGGGATCCAGTATAAAAGAGCTAGTTCTGCCCTAGGACTCAATGCTATACCTACATCAGCGAGGCCACAGAGACCAGCATCGTTGCTTCCAGATACACGAAGCGTAAAACGAGTTGCTTCTTTTTTTGACATGGTGAGGTCAAATGAATGACGCTACCTGAATCTTGTATGCGCGTTTCGGAGATGCAGCACATATTGGTGGTGCGAGATTCTAAAGTTTTAGCTAAGGAGCCTGTTGTCTTATTTAGCACAATGTTTGTACGTTTAAAGTTCCTAGATGTAGTTTAGGGCGTGGTTTCAGGAGACTAGAAATAACGTTCCGCGTACTTAAATCGTTTGCCCTAGCGGTGAGATGTGATAAAGGAACGTGAGAAGAGTTAGTCGTAGAGATAAGAGAGTTATTATGAGGTGTAGGAAGGATTCGAATGTGACCAACTTGGTCTCGTGTGTTGTTACGGGTATGAAGGCTAATATCACTTCCTGGCTGCCCACACAGTGAAGGGTATTTCTTGAGGGACTTGAAAAGGAAGTTGGATTAGTGTTTGTCTTAACTACCTGGGAGCGTGACTGCAGAACCCAAGAGACAACTGATTGGGGCCGATCGCGCACAGCCTTTTTGTGAGAGGTTTTTGACGTGTTAGCTACGTTCTTCAAAGGGACTTACCGCCGGCGACGGAAATCCGTGAGGTAATGTGAGGTGTGACATTTTTACGGTCGACCTTTTCTAACCCCTTCCTTGCGAGAAGACAGCATGGCTGCAGATGTCGGTTGTTTTAGGGAAACACCTTACTGCTCTCACACCCCTCTACAGTCAGCAGTACGACTTCGCGCTCAGACTTTTAGTTGCTGGTTTTAGTCTTACCGTTCTCCAATCAACCTACCTGGCATGGTAGAACCTACAGGAACATATGTTCCAGCCAATATAGCTCGATTGGGTCGTGACGATAGGCAAGCTTGACCACCACGTCAAGGTAGCAACTACGGTCGAGTGGCCTGGTAGTATCGAGCAACAATGTTCCTGCCCTATTACTATCAACAGGATAGACCATCACGTCAGAACTCCAGTTACGCTCGTAATCTAAACAACGATTCTAAATATTCTACTGGAATGCTCTTAGTGCTCAAGAAACAACATTAGCCTAGAAATGTTAAGCATCTGTAGCTCTAAACTGGTGGTGACCAAAGTTCAATAACTTGATTACTAATTTTCATCAGAAGCTATCTGTAAGAAGAAGTTTGTTGTTGGTGACATTATTTTGTTTTGTTAGTTAATGGTTTTGAAGTTGCTTAAATGTATGAATTAAGTACTCCTAAAACAATATAACTGAACTATTTTACTGGTAAATCCGACCAGTGTCCCATATTTTTCAGCTTAATACTGTAACCATTAGTAAATAAAATACATGAAACCTTGTCAGTCGTGCCAAAATATGGCAAAGTTCGATTTTAATTGTCCAGTCTCACGTTTACAACTTTATTGTTTAGATTAGTACTTCAAGCTAACTACGGAATTGGACAAAATCGTTGGGCCTAAATTTAAGGTTTGTTTTCTGTTTCAGGAACTCCACACTTTTCAGTTTGTGAGCACTTTGGATTTTCCAAATATCCAGTGAAATGTATAAAAAATTTTTGTATCAGTTTACTTCGATGGGGCTTTCTAAGCCAACTTTACTTTTAGGTTATTTCTAACGATAGGAAGGCTCTTCAGGAATTGTTGTGGCTAGGTATTGACAACATTAAGGTTCCGGTCTTGAACATCCGAAGATGTACTTTGAAATTCATTCCATTTTTTTATGCGCTATCTTCTTATTCATGATCTAAACGTCAATTTCGCTCCGCTGATTCACGGCATTGATTCAGACATGTTAATAAAACCGAAACTACCTTATCCTGATTAGTATTATAAGTAATGACATGTTCATGTACTGCTTTGTAAACCTATAACAAACTAGTAACCTAGAATTTCCGCTCTGATGTATCTTAACTCAAAGAGTGCTTAAAAAGCGTTTTAGATCCATTGTACTTCAAGCCAGTTGATAAATATAGCATATATCATACAAGACAGATTTTAGCCTAGACCAAGGACTCAACTGTGTAATTGATCTCTATGCTGTGGTCACTTCAATATTTTCAATGAAAAAAAGTTCAGAACGAGTCTCCTAGCAAAACAATTTCATTATTCTGGTATCTTGTTTTCATACTAGTTGTTTTGTTTGCAAGAATGAATCAATTTTACTTTACATGATTCTTGCACTCTTTTCAGGAAGATTTTCGACAATTATACTTAAAAATTTAAAGCACTTCCATCAACACACAAAGCTGTACACACGTTGATCGCCAATGTATGTTAGAATTTTACCGTAACTTTTTGAAAAGGTTATCGTTTATTGGTACAGACTGGACATTGTCTCTGTTACATGCTGGTTCTTATCTGAACATTGATGATATTTTGGCATCTAATGAACGCACGTCATGTCGCGTTCGTGTATTACTTCCATCTCTGGCACCACTGCTACTTTCAGATGTCAAAGATAAAATACTTAGTGAAGGCATTGATGATGGTTACAAAGCGTCAGATGACGTTCCAGTAGGAAAAAGCATTGAGCTACCAGTTTGGCTAGCTATCGCTGTTGGTAGCGGTAGAAGACAAATACTGAGCATCGACGTACCTCCAATTTACCGGGTATGGCAGTTACTTTTTGTTTGTAACACTTAGAATGCCTTTACCGAAGTATTCGAAGCAGATCCTTGTGTAGTTGACCTCAAAAGAAAAGGGTCTATGTATTATATGTTATTATGCAACTTATTGATGTCGGGTCATGTTAGAGTCCCACAAATTGTTGCTACTGGCACTAAGGTTTTTCAAGTAAGTCACTTTATATTTGTAAAAGTGTACCTTATTTGAACGAATGAATGACCGTGACGAAGGTGTATAAAATAAAATTTCGCACCAAAGCCAATAGTTTGGCTTTCTTTGTTTCACAGTAGTGAAAAACGAAACTTAATAAACATGTAGAGATATTGAAGGAATTAAAACATGACTCGGAAAGATAATAAACAATGATGAACAAAAATGACTTTAAACAATCATTTAGTATTCTGAAGGGAATTGGCAGTTTGTACGTAAGAATGCACTGTTACAAAAAATAACTAAAACGTGATTTTTGAGTACATGGTTCGAAAAGATTTGTGTTCTCTTAGCTAGATGGCTTATTTTTTAAATCATTTTGGTTCTGAACATAATCATCAAAGCCATCAAAAGCATCTACATAAGCTACATCTCTCTATCGCTTACGATTCAGAAAACTATTTCACCTTTTTGTAGTCGTGCTAAAAACAAAATCTAGATTCTCGTTATCAATATGCCTAAGTACTTCTACAGCACATCCTTTTGAATTGTGTATGGTTCCCAATCAATTTTTCAGGTTGTACTGATGATATCCTATGAAGTCTACTAAAACAAATTTAGTTAGTTTTACATGAATCAGGAACTCTAGATGTCCTTATTGTGCTCGTTTCGGTACCTACATTTGGTTGTATGCGTTTTTCATTAGCTCTCTTACTCATAGTCTTTATTAGCTCTTGTGCTTTAGTATAATCAATATTAGTGCCGTGTAATTATTTAAATTTGATGAGATTTTAAAGGGATAGTTTGTATCGATCCCCTACATGTTGGTCGCCTTTTCTATATCTACTTGTCCTCAGACTTGATAAAAAAATATGTAGAGCTTTACTCAGATAAAACTCTAACGCTTTTTAAATAAATAATTTCAAAACTACGCCAGTGTTTCTTAGATAATTTTAGTGATCCATAGGAAATTATTTCTATTCATAAGCAGTTAAATGAAACTAGAACCGTAATTGTTGAATTTTTATTTAAATTTACCCAGAAAAAGTAGAGAAAATCGATTTTCCTTAACAATATCTTAATATTCCTCAATTTCGTTACTGAGCATAAGGGTACCTTTGTAGTTAAAACACTTGACTTTCAGCTATTGGGTTTCAGCTTAAAGCCCTGCCCTACTTAATTTTTTAAAGTAGGATTGTGTTACTAGCCATAATACAGTACGTGTTCGTAGGTAATATATTATAACCAAGTTATCACTATGACTTTTATAACAGCTACAAATTTATGTTTATTTTTTTTTATCTCAATCATCATTAGTCACGATTAAAGATGATTATGGATGCCTCACTCAACGCTTCACGACAGGATACTTTGTCATCTACATCTAAGTAAGTTCTAGTATTTAAAATATTTTTAAATGTTAAAGATAGTAGAAAATTTCAGATCATGTCAAACGTTTCAAAATAATTATATTAGAATCTACTATACTCTACACTACATAAACGCATGGTCAGCAAACATGGTTATAGCCAGAACTATTTACGATCGGTCCTTAAGTCGATAAATAATCCAATAAATCTAAAGGTTTGGTCGAAATACACTTGCTTTAATAAATATGAAGCATATATTCGGTGATTAAGACTGAATAAACATTCTTTTGAATGTTTTATCGCAGATACAGAAGACTCCTAAGAATGCTGTTATTTATTTTTCAACTGTCCTTGGGTGTCATCCACTCGAATTTATATAAATCATACTACATTTTGTATGGTGGTTTGGTGGTATTTTTAACTAACTTGTTGCTAGAAGACTCCTCTATTGTGGATTTATAGAGCAAATCATTTACATATAAAGTTAGAATTGGAAATCATAGTTCATCATGTCATGAAAAACGGTATCAAATCCATCTACATCCTGGTTTTGACTGATGGCCACAGTAATGAAGTCATTAGAGTATTTTGACATTCAATTCAGTCAGTCACAACGTAGAACTTCGTACGTACGTACATCAGTTCGAGTTGCCATACCACATTAACACAGATGCAGTTGTCGATTCAAATCCCATAGTGGTAGAGGTAGTAAGAGTATTTGGTAGAACTCAAAGAGTGGATGCACCTTCGCCATTGCAAACGATTTTGAGCCATGTCATACAAGGTCTCTAACCACCGGTTGCTATCATCTCGCTAATCCCAACAAGGTAGTCTACACCTACCAACATGGCTCAGTCCAATTGTCATTGACTTCATTGATTTGTGCCACGTTCTGGTCTGGCCACCCCTAGCTTTCTTCCAACCTACTCCTACACCATGAAACATTGCACGTCGGGGCATTCAGTGGTTGGGCATACGTAACACGTGCCCCAGCCATCTCAACTGATGAAGTTTCACTACTTCATCAATCGATTTGTCATCCTTACCTAGTACCCGTTTCCTAACAACCGCATTACTTACTCGGTGGTCCCAGGATATACGAGCAATGCTTTGAACACACCTATGATCGAATACTAGCAGCCTACGAATATCCTCTACTGTTATCGGCCATATTTCACTGCCACAAAGTAGGACAGAACGAACAAATTTGTAGTAAGTAAAACTAATTTACCTTCAAAAGTATTATTTACTGTGTGTTTTATAACTTGTCATATACAAGAAGTGTCTTGAAGTTTGCAGAACTGCACTACCTGTAACAAACTGTTTATCACTAACTGAGTTCACTGTACGACAGTGTCCACATTTTTAATTCCACTTATGATATTGTGCGACAGTCATTCTTTGTCAACATTTGATCCTTTGAGTGAAACAGCTATACCTATTAATTTTCAATGGTTCTTTAGCCGTCAGTTTTCTGGTTTTAATTAAGTCCAGATTGTGTGAGATTTCTGTAAATCAACTTTACCGATTAGTAAACAAATTTGTATTTTCTAAGTGTTCACTTCCCTGTGCTTTATACAGAGCAGCATTTTTATAAAGATTAGAAATGAGTTAATTTGGTCTAGGTTACGAGAGTTGAAAGAATGAATTTTTTAAAAAGAAGATTGGTTTTAAGATATTCCATGACCATATTGAAATTAAACTTTTGTTTGTTCGCGTTTTTTCTGGATCATAATAAGTTTTTATTGAAGTAAATACCTTAATTTGTATAACTGGTTGTTACTTCACTGTATATTCATTTCATTTTCAAAGTAATCGTTCGCTCATTTCCTCGTTTATCAACTAATCAATCGACAAATTTAGGTTCGACTCCTTGGAAATGGCTTTATTTCGGATAGGTCAAACAGACAGATTACAATTCGAACGTTGGATTTCACGCCATCATGAAAAGATTGAAGCTCTAAGAACAGTTCGTCATGTACTTGTGAAATAGAATCAATGGATTTATTTATTGTTCAAAACTTATTTCATCTAAAGAAAGAAGATTCTTGTAGCTCTTAGTCTTACGATTTTTGTATGCTCTTATTACGCAATTAATTATGAAACAATTTTTTCGAAATTTATTAAATGTAACTGTTTTTAAGATAATGTGGATCTTTGTAACTACTATTTTTAATGAATAGTGTACAAATAAAGCTTTTTTCAAGTTTCGAATTGTGGAGAATATTTTATTCATGATGAGATGTTTTTCTACCATTTATGTCTCATGATAATGGAAACAGTTTCAATCTATCCGGGAATAATTTTGTTCAAAGTCGGCCACTTGTTTCTCTTTTAGATGTAATAACAGCTGTTCAAAAAAAATTCAAATGATATTTTGAATTTCATTGAATAGTGTTTTATTAGCTTAGATATTTCACATCTAACCAGGAAATCACGTGTTTACGTTTGAATACACATATCTACCGGGAACCAAACTACTTGAATTCGTGGAAGGCTTCTAGGTCTCATTTTTTCTTGATTCCGTTCGAAACAGAACTGCTAGTGTCGTGAATTATATTTCTAGGCATACATCACTAATACATATCTTAACACTTAAGAAATCAATAGTTCTCTACAAAAAATTTCCGACTATTCTGATCTAGGGTTGGATTGAGAAACATTTTCTTAGGCTTATGAATTATAAATATCATCAAATATTTCTACCTAATTCAGAATTACTGTTCATTTCATCGAGTGATTAACTAGAATTTGGAAATAGTAAACGGCTTTCACAAATAATCGGGATGCGCAACTATGAGATGGTGGGGAAGATTTGTAGCTCAGGTGGATGATTTTGACCGAGTTTTGTTCTCTGAGCTAGATGGTTCGGTCATGGAGCTTTCACCGTTCTTCTGAACGACACCATCAATGGACTTATGTCATATATTTTATACGAAGTTTAAGTCAAAGATGCGATTATAAAAATCACTAAACATCTAGCCGCGCTGAGATTTGATAATTTCAAAAGGTAGGGCCATCTGGCACTGTGTAAGTGATAATACCACTATTCGTCTGAAATGAATACATTAGATTATTTCAAATACATTTTTGTCTTGATGAAAATATATACTTATTAATAAGTTCAGACTTTTATATAGTACAAAGTCGGATAATCTCCAAAAAGTAAGTACTTTATTTCGACTCAGGTGCTGCTTGGTTTCTTACTCGCTCGATGACGTGGGTGTTCTTTGTTAAATAACTGACGGAGTCATGATCAACTGAAGGATCCACAGCCAGAGAAACCAATGCTAAATTCTCAACTTCCATAAACAGTTTTTTTTTGGTTTATTTCTAATTAAACGAAATCTAGCTACTGTGGCAACTTGAATCGACTTGGTGCTTCACGTAGAAGCCAGATAGAAAATAATCATTTATTTAACAATTTCATTTTAGTACATCAAATACTTTCCTCTTTGTATGAAATAATATTTATTGCAAATTTTGCTAGAAGTTTAGGCTGTTAACATTGTTTTACGGTTGTCACATGTCGGAATAATTTATGCTTCTCGTTCATACCATAGTACTTCACTATAACCAATATAGCTTTATATATTAGCCTGAGTTTTGGGAATTATGCTTTGTAGTCTTGGGAGTTGATTTTATAAGGTCCCCACTCAGTCAAGTAAGCCGACATGCCAGTATATTATCTTGGGTACTGTTTTCAGTGAAACGTTACTGAACAAGAACAAATAATTGGTTAATTGAGATTGTAATAAGTAGTTATAGACGTAAGTCTAGACGTCACTTTAATATACTATCTAGATTTCTCTCTTTTCAGTTTAATAATGTGTAGGAGTGTAAGTAATTTAACAATGAAAAAGGCTAATCTTATTGATTTATGTATGATGTGGTAAATTAATTAACTGTTAATTTGGTGAAATAAATTTCTGCGTACTAATTAGCTGGACACTAAAAGGTATGAAGTTAGTCAAGTAGACTGCACCTCAGTTAATTATGTCTTTCGAGATTCTCTAAATCTGTCTCATGTATGCAATCACAATATTTCAACAGTTGAAACCTGCTTTTTAATCAAGTGGAGGTATGCCTCGTTCAGTGAAACATTAAATCTATGTATATTTGTACTAAGATCTATTGAAAATGACAAACTAATCTTGGAATTTATTTAGTATGACTCAATGTTATGTGAATCATGTATCTATTGAGCTAGTAATCCGTAGATCAGCTCCCTAACTCAACTAAGGTTGAAGACGAACAAATGGTACTTGATGCGCACTATGAATACTCTTCATTTGTATGTGTAGGCCAAAAGAAGGGTTAACAATGTCTTCGCACAATCTAGGCTTAATTTTCATTTCTGATCCACTCTGGGGAAATGTTGAAAATCAAAAACTACTGGACATCTGTTTCGTTCTAGTTTGAAATTTTTTCTGTACTGCGTACCTACAGCCCTACACTAGATCAAACCTTGGACATATATGTTTCACAGTTAGCGCGATACTTATCAGTCAATTGATAAGAGTCATACAGTTTATAACGTCATCCACTTTGCAATACAGCAGTACTTTTGTCTAGTTTCATTAGTTGGTTAGTGACGTAATTGATTATAGAATGTGAAAAGTTAACTATGAATATTAGAGACCAATAAAATACGTATTTTTGTGGAAGCCCCAACGCTTCCTTTGTCTCATTCTTCGTTGTTAGATCTCGAGATTTATAACTCTTATGTCGATTGACATTGATGTTACCGAACCAGGCTTGTAAACGTACAAGATCCAACCATAGGAGAACTAAGAATAGGAGGTCAACCACCTCTTTTCGATCAGGTTTCCTTAGAGTTTTTAACTAAAACTTCCAACTTTCAATAACCAAAGTAAAGTTTGAATCACCAAACTCCAACCTGTAAACTCTAACGTTAACAGTACTAGAATCCTAACTGATTATGATGAAGACCCATGTTATGAACAATGATTAACAAGGCAAACGCTCTACTGAAATCTTCGAAAACCAAAAAAGTAACTTGAAATTATAGTTAAAATTATGTTTTCCATAAATGTGCTGGCTATTCAGGAAACAAATAATACACTATAAGTATCATTACCAAGGTCAGACATAATCATTTCAAAAAACTGAGCATTGTGTAGATTGTAATTAATAAAAATAATATATTTTTCTATTCTTTGGGATATTACAAATATATTATTTCTATAAAAATAACTCATTAAATAGAAACGGAGTAACAGTATTATAAAATTTGCAGAATCATTAGAAAGCCAGAACACTAAAACACTAGCAACTGAATAAAACTGAACGGAACAACAAAAAACTGACTATCCACAAGATATCGTCAAGAAATATTTATCGAATCGACTATTGAATAGGAAATTAACCCTTAAAAATCATCAAGTGTATAATTTTGCCCCACATGAAAAATTTCGCAGAAATCACAATAAGGTTATAAGGCCGCGATGAATATTTGTTGCCCGTAAGCCAATAAACTCGTTGCACTCAATTTTATGTAAACCAGAAGACATAACAAAGAACGGAAATCATCTATTCATTAAACTTCGGCAAATTTCTATAAAAATTCCATAGGAGAAAGTGGCTCTCCTCTCCTCTAACGTTTACATCAATACCAGTTAGCTGTCGCACGCCACAACACAGCTTCACTTATATCAAGTCATTTGTACGTCTGTGAACATAAATTCGGTTGAGAAAACGCCGGAATATTAGAAAGACGGAACATGAAGAAAGCTAGCGGATTTTTAAAAGCCTGGTATTCCAGTCAACCATCGATTATTAAATATATCGAAACTAACTAAATCTGTCGGCCATTAAGTAAAAAGACTGACGACTTCGTGATCAGAAACGAGGTCAGGAGAGAAAACAGTAAAAACGAAATAGCAGACAACAGTGGTATTATTATTATTATTATTCATGGCTTTATTCAATATTATATTTTGGTACAATATAGAATCCTCAGCACGAGGTATTTCAACAAGTTTTTTATTTACCAAAAAGAAAAGAATTAAAAAAAATCTGAGTCTGTACAAATTATCGAATTTGGGAAGTGCTTAAGAATACAGGTTATTTACCAGGTTAACTGTAACAATCTGTTCGTCACAGAGTATATTTCCTAGGTAAAGTATTACAGAACTTTTATAGATTTATTTGCGTGCATGAATTTTAATGTATGGACAAAAATGAACCAGGTCGACAGAACATGCTGCTGGCCAGTTGGAAAGAAATTCAAATAACTCATTCTTCACAGAAGTTCGCTTTGATGATGTTATCCAGAAAGAATGTGAGAGATTTAAAATTAAACTATTCAGGTTAGAGGGAACAACACTTCTAAAACCCTCATTCTGAGCTGTGAGTCTTCTCCATCATAATTTTATTTATAGAATACGACTTAATCTTATAAATAATGTGCACATGTGACTTCGAACTGCGAGGTCATGTAAGTTCCTCTATTAATCCTGTAAAATTTGCACTCAACTCTTTTGTTCGAGGTAGATGTTATTTGGACGGTTATGGTACTTAAGCAGTATGTATCTTATATTTACCATATTGTTTCTGTTCTCCTTACAATACATCGTCAATTATTTTTCATTATGATATGATTCATCATAATTATATCAACTAACCTAATAACTTGGAACCAGTAAACCTCATTATTGACTTATCTTTTAAATAAACTTATTAAAACAATAACTCTTTAATATAACATATTCGTTACAGCTAGCCTTTCGAAATCGCAATATTTATTCTGAGTGATTGTGACCAAATCGACTTTATTTAGTCCTCAATCTTACTGCCTTTAACCATGGCAGTTCTTCGATCCTACAGCTTATACTGAAAAACGGGAACCACTAAAATTCCAACGACCCAAAGTGGGAACACGAAAGACTGATGCAATGGAGATTTATTGACTACTCAAAAACACTTGTCTAAACAAGTACCAAAATGATACCATACTTATACCAAAATACAATCATTTATGCATCAAATTTTACACATACATTATACTAACACAAGTGAAAATACATAGGGCTCAATAAATATGTTTCACCTGAATTTATACAGGGAATATAATTGTCACATTGAACAAAGTTCACACTTGTCACGTTGACTGAAATTCAAAATGAATTAATGCAAAAAATGTTGACCTACATAATGTCATATTTTAACCCGTCATATGAGTAATGTTTA